AAACCCCCCCGGGTTTCCCTCTCGCCGGTTGAGTCGGCGCCGTGGGATCAGTGAACATTCACCACGACGCCGCCCGGCCGCCCTAGCTTGCGCCAGGGCTCCCGCGCCAACGGAGGGACGAGTCGGTTGTCCTCCGACCCGCCCCCCAGACGAGTGAGGCTGTGCAATGCAGGCTCCGGAGTCCCTGTCCAGAGCCCGCTGGTCTCACTAGGGGATCAGGCGAGCAGCGAACTGCCTTCGCCTTCTCCCCGTACGTCTGCGCCGGAGCGGGTGCGCGTCCGCCGCGTCCTCGCGCACCCGCTCCGCGGCCTCCTTTTGCGACATAACCTCTGTGCAAAAGGAGGCCATCGCCTCCCAGGACTCCTCGCTATCGAGCATGGCGGCAACCACGCTCGGCAACGAGAGGTCCTGCCCTATAGTCCCCGTCAGAGTGCGGCGCTGCTCATCCCACCGGCTACACACCTCTAGGGTGTGCTGCGCGGTGTCATCCGCAGCGCCGCACTCGTGGCACGACGGGGACGGTTCCCTCCTCGCCACCTTGTGCAGGTAGTGACCGAAGCAGCCGTGCCCGGTCAGCACCTGCACAAGGTGGTACGACAGTGGCCCATGGGACCGGTTTACCCACTCTACGAGGACAGGGCGAATCGCCTCTATGGTACGAGCACCATAGGGGGGATCCGCCAAGCCCTCTTTCCACCGGTCCCGCATGCGCTGCGCCGCGAGGCGGCGCTCCCGCTCCACCTCTTGGGGAGCGGGTAGCTCGCCTCGGTCCCTCATTCCCCGCCGGTAGGTGCGGACCTCCGCCAGGACCTCGGCTTCGAGGTCCCACGGCGGAGTACCGGCGAGGACGCATGCGGCAGCGCAGGCCACCGTCATGTACGCCCTGCACATTCGCAGGGCGACCACCCTCTGGGGCCTCCTCAGCAGCGACTTCGTCGCCGCTGATAAGGCCCCACTCCAAATGGGAGCCCCGTATAAGGCCATACTCCGGGTCACCCCGGCGTATAGCCTTCTGCATGGGGCTCCCGGCCTCCCGAGGTTGGGCAGGAGCCTGCCCAACGCCGATGCGGCGCCCACTATTCGGGGAGCAAGTTGCCGAAAATGCTCCCCGAAGTTCCATCGCCGGTCTAGGACAAGTCCCAGATATTTCATCTCGCTCCGGCCGACCGGGACCGATACTCCCGCGATGGAGATGTGGGCGCCTGCCGGCACCGCCCAGCCTCTACCCCTCCCGCCGAAGACGGCCACATCCGTCTTCGGCACGGCGACCTCAAGCCCCAGCAGTTGTATTCGGCGGACCACCATGTCCGCCGCTACTGAGGCTCTTCGGGCCGCCTCCTGGAAGGTGGTCCCCCGGACGGCCACCAGCGTGTCATCGGCGTACGCGATGACCGCCGTCCGGGGGAGCAGCGCGCCCCTCAGCACCCAATCGTACCCCAGGTTCCACAGTAGTGGTCCTAATACGGACCCCTGGGGTACTCCGCACCTCATTGGGCGCTCGGCGCGCCTCCCTTCCCTCGTCTGGTAGAGCACCACCCTGTCCTCCAGGTAGTGCTCCACCAGACGGCTGAGGTACCTGGGGATATTATGGTACCTCAGCGCCTCCCTAATAACGGCGAAGGGGAGAGTGCCGAAGGCGTTGGCTATGTCCAACGACACAGCCACCACGCCTTCCCTCTCGCCGTTACCCTCCTCCACGATGTGTCGCAGCGACTCCAGGGCGTCCCCGTTTTAAACCTAACTTAACCTAACCTAACCGAACCTAATCATGTCTTTGCGATAAACATCCAACATATCCTGAAAGAACAACGGTTTCGTTATAATTCGATTTTCGGTGTAATGAAAATTCGAACAAACGTTATTTCGGAAAATAAAAATTCGAGTTTGTGATAGGTTTACGTACGTATTTCTTTATTATTATATGACATTTTTTTTTTAATATTATTATTTGATAAATAACAATTTTAATTAATAATTGAAACCTCGGCCTACCTCTGCTGTTATTGTTATCCCTAACAAAGGGCTCATATGTGTAGCATTATTTTAAATTTAAGACATGTTTACCATATGAATGCAATAAATATATTGAGTATTGAGTATTGAGGTTACCCTTTTGAGGTCGGTTTTTTTAGTACTCTATACTGAGATTATTTTCCTGAATTTCATTACAATTTACTTTATTTCATGACAAAAACTAAACCATACGTAATGAATGATTTATGAAACTGTGATGTTTATTCATAGGTTTTTAGTGTTTAGTAAGCATATGCGTTATTCTCAATGTATAAAATTGAAGGAAATCATATTAGACTGTTGTATTATTACTAGTTTTTAGCAATAAGTACCTGGATATGATATAAACCGACAATTTGATCAAAGTGACCAGTAGTCAATTCAAATTACACGCCCACGTACAAAGTAAAACGCTTACGTTTTTTTTATTGAAATGCGTTCGAGATTGAAATCATCCATTGATATCGTATGAAGTGAATAAATTAATTTGTATTTTATCTTGATTTTTATAAAATTAATATAGAAGTGTAACTGATATGTAAGTTTTATACTATATAACTAATATTTTTAGGGACACGAATATGGATATCGAAAACATGCCGAGCACCAGTGAGCGGCCCTTGGTAACCTCTCCAGAGGTGACAAGGACACCTGAGGGCATCCTGCTAGTGAACAACCAATAGGTATTATTGGTCCAAACCCCAATTGGGAGGTTCCAAGTATATTAACCCAACTAATTTTATAAGTTAAACGAGTATAATCATAATTGTATGTGTATGTTAATAGCAAATAATCTTGATTTTATATCGATTTTGGTGGTTTGGAGATGGCAGACCCGCCTCTTTCACCGCGTGTCCTGATTGAGAAAGAGCCAGTGGAAATTGTAAATATATCTTTTTTATTTGAAGTAGCTGCACCCCATGGTTTCCACTTCATGCAATTATATTGACATTTAACTGCATGAAATTGCAAACTGGGGTAGGCAGAGACCTTGGACCTCCACTTGCCACGCTTTGGTTGAGTTTAGCTTTGCATGTTTTTACAGGATTATGACGAAACCTTAGAATCTGCTCTCGCAGTAGCACTGGCCGTCGACTTAGGTAGCGATGACGAAGAGAGACGGAGTAGCTCTCTCAGAGCAGTTTCTTCAGCTGCTGACATCAGAGGATGAAGAAAAGGACCCCGTAGACCTGGGACTATTTGACTGATCCCAGGACTACAGTACAATTCTGGGTAGGAGCCCGATTCATAACTCTTCGACATTTTAACCGAATCTTTCGATTGGATATCGTTGTCGAACCAAACGCTTTCCGAGCTATTCAGAACATTCCGAGTTAAACGTTCGGTTCGGATTCGGATACGATATCGTTACCCAACAACATTTACGGAGTTAGTCGGTGAAATAGAGAAAGAGAGAAAATCTTTTTATATACATGTTCAAGACTTTAAAGGCCTAAAATGTAGGAATGCATTAGTCTTGCATTAAAATAAATTAATAAAATTGAACAAAATCCAGACGTTATTTAAAATAATAAGAGATTTCCATTTTACATTCTTGCTTTGTAAACAATAGGACGTTCGATATAACATTCATTCGATAACTGTGTTCTGACACACACAGAACAAATAAATGCTGTTCTAGTAATCGTACGGCGTGTGACGCCATTTCGGTTCGGTTTCGAATAGGACAGTTTGACGTTCGATTCGGGTGAATAAAAATGAAAAGAAATCGTACGATATAAATCGAATCGGTCGACAACTGAGTTATCGTAAGGTTCTGAATCGACTCCCAGTAGGGACATGTTCACGAAAGACGCTGGTCCCAAAATTGAGAGGGCAAGCCCTTCAGGCGAAACTAAACACTACTTCTTCTAGTTTTTGGCGCCTGCGCACTGATATGCCATATTATAAACATAATTCCTAATACATTTTCATTCAAACCGCAAATGCAACGCGCAAGTGCGTTTGTTCTAAGCTGCCGCTATTCAAAGGTGCCTTCTTCTCCCCTGCTGCTCTAAACTCATTAGAGATTATTATTATTCTTATGTCAAAAATCATTTTGGATAATGTGGATAGATTTTATTATTATTATAATCATATTCATCCAAATAACTATCACCGTGTTTAATTATTGATTAACATTTATTGTGTAAACCATAGTTTCCCAAAGTGCTCCCGACCGCCCCTATCGGGCGCTGAAGAGTTCTATGGGGGCCTCGGAATCAAATGGGGGGCGTTGATTCTGTTCAGGGGTGGTAACACATTTGGAAAAAAAATGTGAATTATCTATATTAACTACCCTACATATTTAATTGCCTCCGTGGCCGGACGGTTACTATGCTGGACTGCCACGCAGAGGTCCCGAGTTCGATTCCCTAACCGGGAGAAATATTTGTATGGCCTACATTTAATTCTCTCGTGAGTTTGGATGTAATTTGTGGTAGTTTGTCTATGTGTGTGTCCATGGCACCCGCGATACAGAGTTTCCCTATTGCGGGGCTATGAGTTGAATATGAGCATTGAATATATGTATATTCATTCTATAATTTAATTCTTACAAAAAACTTAAAAAACAATATAATTTTATTCTTTGCGATTTTTCGTATTAAGGTAATATAAAAAAATACGTGCTTTCAATTATTTTTTTATGTTGGTGTTGAAATTTTTTTATCTTGCCTTAGTTTTTTCTTTTCTTGACTTAGTTAGGAAACTTATGGTTTAGACCTACGTTTCCGCGCCCATGTCATATTTTTTATTTATAATCATAAAGCACACTGAACTTATATTTAATTTGTCATCGTCAACATCTACACTTACCATCTTTGTTTTCACAAATTAATAACTTATAAATAATGTAAAATACGGCTAGCAATAAAACTACATTCTTTGTTTCTCGTTTACTTTTATAGAACAAAATATGTACACCATCCCCCGTAGCATAGCTACGTTTGACAGTCGCGACGCGCGCGATAAAATTGCGCACGCTATTGGCTATCTAAATTAGATCTGATTGAGACAGCCAATAGCGCGCGCTTATTACAATTTTATCGCACGTGTCGCGACTATCATGCGTGGATACGCATATACGCGCCCCGTAGCATATCAAGCATGGATATGCTACGGGGGCATGATAATTTATAGTACCTAGACTAGATGGTTCTACAATAAACTTGTACCTATAGGTACTTTCTCTATTTACAAATTAAACTATAAATTATTTTATTTGAAATCAATGCTTAATAACAACAAAATACTGATAAATTAATAGGAAACATTACTGTTTTGCACTGAATATTTATGGGGTATCCAGACGGAATCAATTAATATTGCTAACTAAATCAGTTGTAACTAAGCCAGTTGTAACAAATTATGAAACAGTGTTGTTACAAAGTATTCTTCAACTTCTTACTAATAAACTAACATGTACTTACAAGTAGACCGTAGTTAAAGCAGTATTGACTAAATGTAGTTGAACTACTTTTGTGAAAAACGTATTTAACACCTGTACGTCTTAATTACTAAAGCAAAATTGGTCAATGAAACATTGACCTTGCCATTTTCATACATATACTTCTAAGGGACATTTTCCCGTACGTCAAAATGTCACTTACGACATTTTAAAATTCAATACATAACCTTTAAATCTAGAGTGGAAATTTGAAATGTCATAAGAGAATGTCATTTTGTTAAAAGGAACATTTTGTCGTATGCGACATTTCAAATTTCCGCCATAATAATGTAATATCGAACAGTGAGTGTCTATTTTGTTTATTACGTTTGATATAGGTACTTTAGTGCGTGGTTGTGGTGTAAAGTAGTTAAGGGAGAAGAGGTGCGGTATCAAACACAGCTGTAGATGCCGTTGCAGGCATCACGCAGGCCAATGCATCGGAAATGGTAGAAGCCCGTAACGCGGTTTTATCGACGTCCGGTATGCCCTCCAAACGCCGTACTACCTCGGAGCTCGCATTGTATAGGATCAGGTGTTGATCGGCCTCTTTGAACTTCTTTATACTGCGCTGTAGTACCTGCACAAAGCATATAAATGATATAAATAAATCGACGCCTCCCACGTAAAGTATCGTATGTCAAAATTGCCAAGTTTACAGGGGAGCCTTTTAAAGTTCTAAATTCACTGAAATAAACATAACACGTGACTTTAGATTTCTCACTTTTATTCGGCAAATCTCGTAACACACGTTGAGTATCATAAAATCCTAGATATCGGTTAGATGATCTATTAGATGATCACTCTATGTGAGTAACAAGCTTTGCCAAATGAAACGGAGAACTTTAAAACACTCCCTGCAAACTTGGCAATTTCGACATACGATACTTTACGTAAGAAGCGTCGAAATAAGCAAGCATATAAATAAATGGTGAAATTACAGGCAAATGGGACTTGTCAACTTTGCCATCAGATCTTTGCGATTTAAAGCTCTGAGTGGCACAACTTTGCCAGTTGCAAATGCTAAGGACAGGCGTGTAGCTTACCATCAAGTACACGACTTGTTCGTCCCGTCACTTGATACTATAAAAAAAAATCTATCTAAAAAACTATTTCTTAACCGACTTGAAAAACAGGAGGAGGTTCTCAATTCGAATGTATTTTTTTCTTTTGTATGTATGGTACGCGATAACTCAACGACATTTGTGTATTTTGATGATTATTTTTTTGTTGGAAAGAGTGTACAATATTGGTTCCATTTAAATTTGAAGATCTCGGATGGCAAACTAAGGGATGAATCCGGCTGCGCGCGCTTTTCGGTAACCGATTTTAATAATTATCGTACTAAGTGACGGGAGCAACAAGTCGTGCGCCTGGTGGTAAATCACTTATTTTATTTATTTATTTCGTTCTGGCCACATGACCCATATAAAACAATACCTTATGGGTAAGGGTGCTGGTGATATTACAGGCACATGGGATTTGTCAACTTATGTCTCGGGGTTTAAAGCTCTGAGTGACATTGGAGCTGCTATGACACGTATAGCTTACCAACAGGTGCACGACTTGTTCGTGCCGTCACTTAATATTATAAAAAAAAGAGTTTTCAATTATTTTTTAGGGTGGTGGGCGTTGATATTTTTTATCTTGCCGTAAAGTTTGGGAAGCTATGGTCTAAAGTAAGTGCGTAGGTACCAGCACAGCAGCATCGTCGATCAGCGACAGCCGGGAGCAGTCGAGCAGCACCGGCCGCGGCCGAACGCGAGCCGCCGCCGCCGCCAGTCGCGCCGCCGCGTGCTCCGCGTTCATGTACACCAGAGCCAGCGTCGGCACCACGCGCGCCACTTCGCCCACTGCGGACTGCGGAACACACTCAATACATACTTCATATTACAGTACCGGCACGCTATGATGGCCGTTTTCACAGATTACAATAGTGAGGTCAAATCTCAATTCATTATCGAAAAATATAATAAAATGAGAGTCGCATTTATAACTTTTTAGATTTATAACTACTATTGCAAGGGGTAGCTGATTAAAAAGTTTTAATATAACTATTGACACAATGTATAACAATTAGTTCCTTCAACGTAGCATAGTTATGAATCGTCAAAACGGCCATCATAGCGTGCTGGTACTGTAGTCAAACATATTATATATTTTATCAAATGTGATTTTTTTGACACTGACATCAATATACTGAGTGTTTTTTAAATGGGACTGTATGGGTAAAACCGAAATTATAAAAGGTACAAGAAAACTGTTTTAGGAACCATTAAGTCTATATCGAGTTCTTAGGTTTTCGCGATTGTTACACATAGGAAATGAAACTATTTTTCCGGATTTAAATCGCGTATTTCAAACATTATTATACATATTAAACAGTATTTCAAACGAACTGACGTTTCGGGCCCTTTACAGGTCTCATGGTCACGGCTGACGACGTCGATTTGTTTGGAAAAACAAATATACGTGATTTAAATCCGGTAAAATAGTTTCATTTCCTAACCATTAAGTCTGTTTATGAAAACAATTTTAGTATAGTCAATGACTTGGTGAGGCGTGAGTTGTCCAGAAAAATGAATAAAATTTATCACTTTTTTTTAGCGCTAATCGACTCAGTTTCATGAAGGGATCATTTCATTGTACGGGACGAAAAAATCGGGACAGCCAAAGTTGGTCAAATTTCGTAAAATATTTTTCGTACAAAATTAATAAAATTGACTATTTTTTTTAATGCTATTAGACTCAGTTTCTTACAAGCGTGATTTTACCGCACGGGAAATAAAATCGGCCGCACCTTGTGCGCGTAGAGGTGCATGCGCGGGCGCATGAGCCGGCGCAGCAGCCGCGCCAGGCCGGCCAGCGCGCCCGCCAGCAGCGCCAGCTCCACGCTCAGCGCCACGCCCACCGCGAACGTCAGCGCCAGCACGGCCAGCTCGCCGCGCGCGCCGCGCCACAGCCGCGACACGATCGCCGCGTCGAACTGGGCGGACACGATATCCGGTAACTATCGGCATCCGGCCGGATACCGGACAGTTGAATAATATCCGGCCGGATACCGGATGTTTAATACTGACAAAATTACTCAATAACAGCGCCAAGTAAATTTATTTATTCATCAAATAGGATAGTTAACAATAAAAACTACACAGTCGTTAACATATCTGTATAATACTTGTAACTATCACTCTGTGGGGCTTTACTCCGATGCAATCATTCATCCTGCCCTCCTCATCGTAACTAACGTAATCGACATTTTTAGCAAAATTGAGTTATTAATATATCTGGGGTCAGCAAAACAAGATCTACAACCCCTCGTAATCGGTTTTTTAATATCTTATTTAGTTAAAAAATTACCGAAATGAAAGCGCGTTTGTTATGATAAAGGGAGCACCACAATATGCTACAAATCTTCGCCGTAAGGGTCAATTTATATTGCGGCGGAACGGAATGGAAGCTAATTTTTGTAACGATATTGTATATAGCGTAATAACGAACTTTTTGGTCAATTGTGTAACGTAAAAACTAGATACGAGCCGAAAAATCACGTCTCGCGTCGAGAATGAACACGTATTCGCGAAAATTTCGCAGCTGCCGACAACGACGAGATAGTGCTGGCAGACGCTGTGTGACGTCAAACGTCAACGAAATACAATAGCCTCAAGTCACAGTAGCGAGAAAGCTCGCGAATGCTCGAGTACTCCAGAGACCGCACGCGCTGCCATTCCACTCCGCCACAATGTAAATTGAGCCTAAGGAGAGAGTTTAGCTCCGTCACACCGGCTCAATACGGGTTGGAGACTGCACACATTATCCAAAGGTGGTGAACCTTCTTCGACATGCAAGTTTCATGACGATATGTTCATTCACCGTTAGTGAGAAATATCACTAGACAAGTGGTCCATGAATGGAGCCTCACCTAGCGACGTACCATCCCTTTCTATTACGTGCGGTACACCCTGGGCAACAATCAGTGAGTGAAGCACAATCTTTTGACCACGATGGCAAGCATTATAGAAAAAGACTAGTAGAGCTCCTTGTGAAAGAGTTCGTCCAGGGAAGTACTGCCACCTTAGCTATTTCTGCCGCCAAGCAGTAACGTGAGCAGTAAGGGTGTTGGTGAAATTACAGACACATATGGGACTAGTCAACTTATGTCTCAGGGTGGCAGTGCCCCTAAGATCTTTGCGACCCAAGCTCTGAATGGCACTGCAACTGTTATGGATAGGCGTGTCGCTTACCACTAGGCACGACTTGTCCTTCACTTGGTATTATAATTAAAATTGGAGATTCAAGCCGTCGAGCTTTCAACTGAAAAGCAACCACACTCCTACTAGGTTACCATTGCTGTAAAAAAGGTAGCGAACAGAAGGTAATATTACCATGAAGATGACAGCGCAGATGAGCACAGAAGACAGGCAGGCGCGCGGGATGAAATAGAAGTATTTGGTCATGAACGCCAGCGCCAACAATGCGATCAATCCTGTAACACAACAGCAACATACCGTTAGTATACAAATAACTCCATGCGATAATTAAACAATTACCATTGAAATCGTCGAAAAAACCAAACACTACTCATTCTTAAGGTAGATTTCCCTGAGAAAAATGACTAAAGGCCCGCCCACTGGGGGTACGGCACAACAGGTAATTTTTAGGTCACGAATATTGTTTAGTAATTTTCCGACAAATTTCAAATGTGGAATTGGAATTTTCAGTGGAATTTTTTTCGGAAAAATTACTGAAAAATTAAAAAAATTTGAAAAATATAATTCAAAGGGTCATTTCATATTATGTTCTTCGTTTAGAAATATTTTTTTATAGGAATGAAACTTTCGTTTTTTCTTTTCGTTTTCGTTTCGTTTCGTTGTTGACTGTCAACCGTGACCATGGGACCTGTAAAGGGCCCGAAACGTCGGTTTGTTTGAAAAAACAAATATACGCGATTTAAATCCGGAAAAATAGTTTAACAATCCGGAAAAATAGTTATAACAATCGCGAAAACCTAAGAACTCGATATATTTTTTTTAGTTTTATTTAGCGTGAATTATAAAATAAAATTGTATAGCTAAAAGCAAGGTAGAGAGAAACGAGATTTAAAATCATTGGACAACAGCGAAAAAAGGGAATCGTGAGTAAAAAATTCTTTATAATGGCTCCATCGTTTTCGTTCAGTATCTTCAACTTTTCAACAGGTGTCAATTACTGTGAAATGTGGAAAAATATTCAGAAAAATATTTATTTCTCAAAATGGAGATTTTTCCCTGACCCGACACTAGTCACAAGTAGTAATATACCTTAACATTATATGTAGTTGAAATGTCAATTATCGTCTGTTTAAAGGTAAAAACCACATAGTAACATTTTCTACAAAAAGTCTTTATATAGCTACGGTAAGAAAATCACTATCTCTGCAGGTGAAACTCAATAACAAGAAATCTATAATCTCAATAAGTGGTTATATTAGCAGAAAAATGGTGATTTTCTTACAACAGGTACACAATTTGGAGATTTTTTGTGGATTTGTAGAATGTCACTTATGTGGTTTTAACTTTAAGCAGACGTTATGTTGGTTGTCATCAAAATCTTCTCCCTTTTGGATATGGTGCTTTTGTTCTTCTTCAGCAAGACTACCAGTTTTAAATATGCAACTGGTAATAAACCAGTACCATCGGTATAACATTTTAAAAGAAAGAAGAAGAAAAGTAATTCTAATAATAAACAAACAAATGACACGTGGCAAAAGAAAAGTGTGTGAAAATAGAATAACTTGGCGTAATTATTGCGCTGCATAATAAAGTGCTATAAGTACCCGAGTAGAGACCAGCGAGCGGCGTACGTACGCCGCTGGAGTGCGAGACGGCTGAGCGCGTGAAGGCGCCGCAAGTGGGCATAGCGCGGAACAGCGAGCCCGCCATGTTGCAGAGGCCCAGCGTCACCATCTCCTGCGTCGCGTCCACTCGATTCACGGCTATGACCATACGACCATTACAACTATATAAATAGAGTTTATTTCACTATTGCAATATAACTTAATCACATACCTAATTTAATCAAATAATGTAATAATAGCGAACTGGTTGTTCACTATTATTACGGTTATTATTGCAGTTGGATTTCTGTGGAGAGTCTCTTTCAGTATAAATACAAAAAGCAGTGCCCAAAGCAAAAAGTTTGCCCGTTCACTTAAAAATTCAAAATAATAATAATTAATGATAACATGTGTATCAATACATTATTATTAATGTGTGCGTGTGTGGGTGAGTGCGTCCGTTTCTGTGTCCGTGTCCATGTCCGTGTCTGTGTGCGTACGCAGTTCGTGCTTGCGTGCGTGCAACCAGCATTTCACATATTCAGCCGTAGGTCGAGTCAGTCTAATTCCACTTATCAACGAGTTAGGCAGATTAATACTCGATTTTTTTTTATAAAAAAAACACAGATTTCAACAGTCGTAACATTTATTTGCCAGGTTTTCTTCAAATCGATTATCGGAAAGTGCGCGAAACTGGATGTATCCCCTAGTTGGCCACCTTCAGAGGTCGGATATCTTCTTTAAGTTTAAATGGGACCAATACTGAGGTACCGTTTTTCCATCAAACAAAGAATCATCAATCAATCGGTTCACAAGTCCGAGTTATCGCGTAACATACATACAAAAAAAATACAACTGATTTGGGTACCTCTTCCTTTTCCTCCACGGTAATGGAGATTGTTTGCTTTTCAAAGCTGAGTAAGATGATAAGTCTTACACGGATATTTCATCGACAGAAGAGAATGGATACTTACAGAACGCTTTGGCGATAGCGATGTTGGCCAACACCATGATGATGGGTGTCATGAGCACGCCGAAGCCCAGTCGGCCAGCCATTTCGACGAAACTCACGGTGCCATTTTCGCTGGCCACGCTGAACGGCGGCGCGGCCACACTCGGCAGGCCTGGCTCCACGCGGCCTGTCACAAAACATCTTTGTCATCACAATTGCTCGTAAACAGTTTATCGCCCTATTGTGTTTTACGTCAAGCATGATGAAGCATAGAAAAACTAAACATGTGCAATTTAACTATGTTTTACAAATTTTTTTTGTGAATTTAAATTCTGCAGTATTTTTAGAATTTGGAAATTATTTATTGTATATCTAATGCATTGTGGCTGCATACGTCCGTCCTTGTCTTTTATGACATTTTAGTTCATCATCATTATATCAGCCGGAAGACGTCCACTGCTGAACATAGGCCTCCCCCAAAGATTACCAGACTAGCCGGTCGGATGCGACGTGCGTCCATCGGTTATCTGCCGCAGGTCATCCGTCCATCTAAACGTCTTCCGGTTAGTGGTCTCCATTCAAGAACGTTTCTGCCACAACGGCCGTCAATTCTACGAGCTATGTGCCATGCCACTTCAACTTGTATCAATGTAACATTCTAGATTCATTTGCGAGCATTACATTTCATACTACCTCCCGCACCGGCGAGCATTCGCCTGCGAACATTTACAAACTACCTCCTTCACCGACGAGCATTCGCCTGTAATGTAACATCTAAGATTCGGTTAGACTGCGATTCCACTAGAGATGTAGACGAAGTAGCAAGACGTGCGTGCGAGTGCGTCTGAGAGCCCGTGAGAGCCAGGAGTGCCTATGAGTGCGTTTGAGCGCCTTTGAGTGTGTTTGAGTGTCTTGAGTGCATTTGAGTGCCTTTTAGTGCCCGCGAGTGCCTTTGAGTGACGTGGAGTGCCTTTGAGTACGTTTGGGTGCCTTTGGTGTCTTGAGTGCCTTACAGTTTTAGAGCCCGTGAGTGCGTTTTAATGCCTTTGAATGCGTGTCACTCAAAGGCACTCAACATCACTCAAAGACACTCGTGGGTACTAAAAGGCACTTAAGACCCTCAAAGGCACTCAAACGTACTCAAAGGAACTAAAAGGCACTCATCGTCACTAAAAGGCACTCGCGGGCACTCAAAGGTCGCTAAAAGGCTGAAAAGGCATTCGCGGGCACTAAAAGGCACTCAAGACCCTCAAAGGCACTCAAACTCACTTTATTGTTATACATAGTCATTCGTTTCATACGGTATAAGTACTTACCTAAATCGGAAATTATGCGATTATTTTTAGTTATTTATAATCAGATTACAAAAACCCATAAATACATAACTTATAGACTAACACTACACACATAATAATATAATAAAACACTAATGAACAATTATTATTTACACATATTGTCTGCGACGTGTAACGCAACGTGGGTGTCCAGCAGCCGGCTTCGGAAACTACGGTATATTGATACCCTTCGGTCAAAACTCATCCTTCATGAGGGTCGACAGAATTAACTAAGGCTTACACAGAATTACTTATGACGAGGAATATTGCAAGAATCGTTCGGATCGGACGCGCGACGCGCAATGACTGTCTCACGCACACACACACGGAGGGATGAAACGTTACGTCAGCATATGTATACAAGACTTTGTTATCAACTTATGTCTCAGGGCGACAGGCGCGGTAGCAGCGCCTTCAGGTCTTTACGATTTAAAGCTCTGAGTGGTACTGCAACTGCTAGAGATAGGCGTCGTGCGCCTGATGGTAAGCTACACGCCTGTCCATATATAACAGTTGCATTGCCACTCAGAGCTTTAAATCGCTAAGATCTGAGGGGCACTGCCACTAAGCCCGTCACCCTGAGACATAAGTTGACAAGTCCCATGTGCCAGTAATTTCACCAGCACCCTTACCCTTCAAACACGGAACACAGTAATGCTGACATTACTGTTTGGCGGCAGAAATAGGTAAGGTGGCAGTACTTCCCAGGACGAATTCTCTCACAAGGAGCTCTACTGCTAGTTAAACTTTACTTACTTTACTTAGTTACCAACGTAATGTAGTAGCCTGTTGTACATTGCTTCGTCCTAATAACATGTGGTTTCATTGTAATTTTTATAGATTATTTAATTCATTCATTAATTCAACAATTGTAAACTAGGTAAGTGTGTTAAAAGCTACTCAAACAAAGACAAGATAGATAAGTCGTTACAATGTAAGTTAGTTCATGATAGCAATTAAATATGACAATGGCATTTAGTTGTCTAAACAAAATGTTAGACCACTACGTGTGTGGAAAGATCTATTCAAGAAAATATGATTTTGTAACTTTATTGTCATGATTGTTGACGAGGTTATTGTGCGCTATTTTTTCCTGCTTTTGATGTTATTCTTCTTATTTTATTGGGATATGTAGTATATTTAAATGTTATTCAGGCTTCGATATAATAATTATAATTTTATTGATAAATTTAATGAGAATTATCGCGTTAATCCTGTGTTGCCATTGTAATAGTTCATTTTCATTTATTCATTTATTCTTTCAATAATACCTGTAGCGAATCGTTTTAGTTTTATATTTAAATTCTAAATTTAAATGTGATTGTTTTTGGCGTCTTTTCTTGACTATAATAAACTACAAGTAAATTTGCTTTGGCCTTGCTAACTCCTTGTTAGCACCCACCCGAATCCATTGATACAGTCCAATACAATGCCTTTTTGTCCCTTGCCAGATTTACTTATGATAATTATGGGGTATATTTCTAAAAGTCGCGCCGCGTTAAATTTATAGAGAATGTAAAACAACACCCTGCAATATTGGATAGCAGTTCCGCCAGTTATTCCAATCGACTCGATAAAGAAGGCCCATACCCTTAGAATAATAACGCATAGAAACTTAGCCCGCACACGCTAAGTGAGGCAAATTGTAGGACGCCCTATGGGCTTACACGAGCGAGCGGGCTGTCAGTGCTCAAGGTCAAGTTGCACCGCGAGCAGCTCAAAAATTTTTGCTAAAAATGACGAAATGTGCGGTAATTGGGTTTAAAAATAGATCAGACAAATATAAAATAGACACTAACATCACATTCCACAAGGAAGTAACGCGTTTCAACTTGTATTTTTATGTAAATATTCACTAAAACAGAAAATTAATTTCGTTGCAACAAGATACGGAAATGTTGCAAAGTAACGGGTTTTTTCTCCCCATTTTGCTATTCTGTTTCAAAATAATTATATTACGTATTTTTTTGAGAATAGGCAATATCGCGACGGTTGCATAATTTCTACAAATGTACACCGCCGTAAGAACATTGTAGGGAATTTACGTTAGCTATTTTTACGAAATATATTTAGTATTTGCCTTCATTAGTTTCATGTGAAAAATCATTATTCTTGTTCATCATACACTCATTTAAAAAAATTATCTTGCCCAGACTCAACAGTTCTTAACTAAAATTATTTCAGGAAACTAACACTGACTAAAAAGTCATCGTCAGTTCTCCAAAATCGTGTATAAATAACTTTCAGGTTCAGGTTCTTAATTGTTATCGTGTACTTTTCATGTAAACATACCCACAGATAATATCAGGCTATTTATATATTCAAATTCGATAGTCGCACTTAAACTCGCTTGTAGGTTTTTGTTCATATATGAGTTAAATAAGAATTGGGTAGTATTTAATAAGGTGCCTATTCGTGCCAGATTTGCTCGACATTGTCGATTGACAGTAACGATTGCGAATTATAGACGTTTTTGAGGAGTTTTAGAGTGCTTATTACGAATGTAGCATTAATTTCTAAATCCAAGATGGTTGACAACAATTGTCAAAAATGTATTTTTGGTAAACCATAAGAAAATGGCATGTATATCTGAATACAAAATGGAGGACAAGACTTCTAATTCTTCCTCTTCTAATTCTTTGCCATCTTGGATTTAGAAATATGTGCTATATTCGGAATGAGCAGCCCCTAATAACTTGAAAACGACACCCAACTTGCCATTATTCGAAAAATCATGCCCGCCATCTTGGATTTAGAAATTAGTGCCATGTTCTTAATGAGCACTCCCAAATACCTCGAAAACGACACCCAACTTGCTATTATTTGAAAAGTCATGTCCGCCATCTTGGATTTAGAAATAAGTGCTATATTCCTAATGAGCACCCCCAAATACCTCGAAAACGATCCCCAACTTGCCATTATATGAAAAATCGTGCCCGCCATCTTGGATTTAGAAATGAGTGCCATATTCGTAATGAGCACCCCCAAATACCTCGAAAATGATACCCATATTGCATTTATTTCAAAAGTCGTGTCCGCCATCTTGGATTTAGAAATAAATGCCATATTCGTGATGAGCACCTCGAATACCTCGAAAACGATTCCCATATTGCATTTATTCGAAAAGACGTGTCCGCCATCTTGGATTTAGAAATGAGAAAAGTCGTGTCCGCCTTCGTGTATTCAAATATAAATGCCATTTCCATAAGGATTACCAAAAATAAATTTTTGAAAATTCCTGTCACTTGACGTTGTCGATCAACAGTAACGATCGACAAAATCGAGCAAATCTGTAGGCACCTCTAACTTAACGATGAGTTAAATTATAACACAACATACAATTTCCCCACTTTTGAGGGAAATGTTATTCCATGGCATCATTATTTGTATATTTGTGTGCGTGCCGACGAGCGTAAATACAAGTTGCTTACGCCTACATGAATTTGATTTTTGCCTCACTTGTGACAGTTCGTTTTTTATGAAACTATCATTCTATGCGTTATTATTCTAAGCCCATACCTGTGACAATTTTGAAACTATAAGACTTTCGTGGTTATTCACTAAATGATTATCACTAGTATCAGGTTTCTTACCACGGTATGACTTCTTTTTATTTTTCAGTACATACCACGGTTGGTACGAGAAGCCATCGAGATCACGAAGTACAAAACATTTAACCGTGATGATGGTTTTAAACTGTCCAGTGCATTGAATCCGGTACTTGGTGCGTGCAGTAATAAAAACAAAAACACCTCGAGTTCAGTTTCGCGTGTGGATACAGTGAGTGTGGTTTGTGTGAAAAAAGTGAGTGACAATGGTAACGCCACAACAAATCGCGATGAAGGTAGTCGACGACAGCGCAAGAGGGTAGACAGATATGTCTGCTCTTAAAGCTGTCATCTGCCGCCGTCCAGTCAACCCGTGACCAAGGAGCGTGCAACCGTTCCGAAATATCGGGAAAATAAAAAGAAGTCATACCGTAGTAAGAAACCTGATACTAGTGATAATCATTTAATTTTGAAACTGAAACTACACCTGAAAAAAAACATAGCAGGTGTGTCATTTTTAATACCTATACGTGAAGTGTGTGCCCCAAGAACTAGGTAAAAATAATGTTTCTTTGTCAGAATCCATCGCGTAACTGAGTCGAAAGATAACACATTACTAAAAATTTGGTCGCACTTCAGCAGCGCGACAGTCGCGCGGCCGCCGCGCGGTTGCAGAGCTTCTAACAGCGGTTAATTTGAACGTGCCCTTATATTGAGATAAACGTTAACAAATATGTTACCAGAGAGTTTGAACCAGGGATGCGTGTTAGTGACAGGGTCGAAAGTGCAGAAAGCTAGCACGGAAGCTGCAGTTACCACCATCGCGTTACGACTGATCGAGATCAGCCAAAGCGTCTTCTTCAGGCTGGCGCGCTTCGGATTCACTGGGACGTCCTTAAGTTTCTGTAATACATACGGGTTTCGTTAAATAATAGAAAGCTAAGAAAATGCTTACTATTCGGTTGAAGACCGATGATTCCCAAAGTGTAATATCAGCATTACTGCGTTCCGGTTTGGAAGGGTAAGGGTGCTGATGAAATTACAGGCACATTGGACTTGTTAATTTATGTCTCAGAGTGACGGGCGTAGTGGCAGTGCCCCTCAGATCTTTGCGATTTAAAGCTCTGCGTGGAGCTACTATTGATAGGCGTGTCGCTTACCACCAGACACGACTTGTTGGTCTCATTACTTGGTATTACGTCGAGTATGTAACCAGAAATAGAGACGCAATGTCATTTAATTGGTTTGAAAACTATTCTGCCATATCATTACTGTGACAACTGCGTTCCGATTGGCCAGCCCGAATCCGAGACAATTGACGAGTGTCGTCGTGAAAATTGCAAAGTTACGTATTTAATTACCGATGAAATATGATTCCGTTTGTTTTGTAATTAGATGTTTTGTTGTTTCCCCACACCACCGAATGGAACAGCACGCCACTGTTAGAGATATTATCTTTATTGCAATAAATACAGAATATTTTTGGTATATACGGAGACGTACACACAGGTCAGTTATTGGCGCTGTCTATATTTCAGTGCAAAGGAGAGTTGATATTTATAAGTGATGTACCTATCACTGACGAGTTACCAATAATGTATGGCCCTTACTTCGTCTCTATTTCTGATTACATACTCGATGTTGTATTATAAAAAAAAAACAAATAAGAATCATTATAGTCGGTTCATAAATGTAGTCGCGTAATACACAAAAAAAACACCGTCGAATTGAGAACCTCCGCCTTTTTTCAAGTCGGTTAAAAACAAAAATGTAAACAAAATATAATTAAACCATTGACTCACAAATAAATGGACGACGGGTCTAACACACAAACCACGAAAAAAATGTCCCAAGTCAACCTATTGTAAAGGAATATGAAAAAGCTAAAACGTTGAATTTAAATTGTAATGTCATCGCATGTCACTGTCTAATGTCTAATTTTGCTTGCTTCGCTGTCAGTCGAACAAACGAAGACTAAAGCGTGAATGACGCTCTGTATACGATTTTAACGCCCTATAAGTTCGGACACTTTTTAGCGCGGACCCGACGTCCATATAATTGTAAGTCAATGAATTAAACGTAAAATTGTCTCACCCGAAGCAATAGTAGTATAGTACAGCACACAGCACCTAGCATACAATCTCCGAGCTGTGTTTCATGTAAATTCTCATAGACGTGCCGCAAATTGTCAAACACGTTTTCGGCTACGAAGCTGATGCCTAAAAGACCCTTGATCTGCGACGCGACTATTATCACTACTGTAGCTGACGTGAAGCCGGAGGTTACTGTTGGCGAAATCAAATCTACCAGGAAACCTGTGGAGAAGAATTAGATATTATAATAAATTATAATTTGTAAGAAGTGATTTAAAGTAGTGTAATTTAGTTACAATTTAATTAGAGTAAATAAACTGTACAATCAAGAGGGGGAACAGGAGACATAAGACACAGGGTATCCTAGTTTAGGCTCTTGTCTCTCACAACAGTACAGACTACTAAAAAAAACCGATATCAAAATCATCCCCTAGTTTGCCACCCTTAGAAGTACAATGTTTTCTTCAAATTGAAATTGGACCGCTTCTGGGGTACCCTCTTTCCAACAAAAAAAGATGGTTCACAAATGTCGGGATACAAAAAAAAAGAAAAAATAACATATACTGTTGCTATGTACCTATGTGATGTAAGAGAAAATAAAAAATATATTAATCTTATTATAATTATACTTTTTTTAATAAAAAAAAAACAAACGTCTTTTGCAAAGTTTCATTGAAAACGGTTAGCGGAAAGGGGTTGAAATTCAACAAACCAGATTCATTCCCTAATTTGCCATCCTTAGAGGTGGAATATTTTATTCAAATTTAAATGGGACTGATGCTGAGGTACCCTCTTTCCAACAAAATAGGAATCATCAAAATCGGTTCACAAATACCGGAGTAATAACGTCGCATATACACAAAAAAAATACAGTCGTATTGAGAATTTCACCCTTTTATTGAAGTCAGTTAAAAATAAAATTCAATATTATATAACTTTACGCATAAACGTTATATTTTTGCTTTCAAATAACTTAATCCCGCTCGTTGGTCCTGACTGAAAACTAGCGCCTTAAGTAACTTTGGCATATGCTGAGGCAGCGCCGTTTCACTGCTATGACAATCATGTTTTGTTTTTTCTTTTATGCTGAATCTGTATTTGTGTAATATCAGTGAATAAATTGTTTATCTGTCTATCTGTCTATCTATATTAAAAATAAACCGTGGTAGCCTAATGGTTTGACCTACCACCTTAGGCAGTAAGCAGAGAGTCGTAGGTTCGAATACCTCTGAGTTACTCAGAATTTATGTGCGAATTTGAAATTTACCATGAGCTTTTCGGTGAAGAATAATATAGTGAGGAAACCTGAACACATCTGCAAAGCAATTTCAATCTCAATCCGCAATGGGCCCGGTTGAGTGGTATCTACAGCCCCAGTCCTCCCATTGTAAGAGGAGGTCCATACTCAGCAGCTTATTTTATGTCTATTAATATTCGGTAGTAATAAAAGCTCCGAGAGTAAATTAAAGATGAGCTTATTCAAATTATGAATGTTACTGCGTTATTTACAAAGCTACCGATAACTTATGTGGAAATAACTTTGAAAAATCTTACCGACTAAATACTTCGGCAGATACATTGAATCCATGGCCAAAAATGCAGCCAAGAAGCTACCGGGACAGTTGCTTCAGCTGTACCATGCACAAGTCCGGTCGTGTATGGAGTACTGCTGTCACTTATGGGATGGCTCTGCTACCAACTGGCTACTTTAGATTCAATAGACAAACGTGCTGAGAGGCTTATAGGTGACTCGGAATTAGTAGATACGAAGCTGCAGAGCGTTGAACACCGCCGTAGTGTTGCTAGCTTATCGGTATTCTACAGGATATATCACGGAGTCTGTGCGATGGAATTGCATAATTTGATTCCGCCTTGCACTTTCCATCATCGGGAGACAAGACGTAGGCAGGGGTTCCACCCCTATGTTTTGGATATTCCCCGGATTCTTACGAAGCGTTTCGCTTCCACATTTGTATGGCAGGCGGCTATGGAGTGCAATTCCCTGCCTGCAGACTTGTTCCCCGAACGCTATAATTTGGACCTTTTCAAGGCGAGAGTGAATAGGCATTATTTAGGTGTGCATGCTACATCCTCGACCTCATCGTCACTTTCCATCAGGTGAGATGGAGGTCAAATGCGCACTTATTTCTTTATAAAAAAAACTCTACCAAATTCATTTATATTTTACCGAAAACTATTGTTAGCCATTTTTATCGTAAATCACTGACTGAAAATTTAAAAGTGACCTTATAAATTTCTTAAGCTTTGGTGCTTGTTAAACTAATTTATCATCATCATACAAATAGACAATAAATAAATATTAGATAATATCACATATGTTGTTCTGATCCCAAAGTAAGTAGCTAAAGTATTTGTGTTATGGAAATCGGAAATAACGATGGTAAATACCACAAACACCCAAACCCGAGGTAATATAGAAAAGTTAGTTTTCTACACTGACCCCGCCGGCATCGTACTCGGGACCTCAGAGATGCCGACATCATGAAAACTGGTGTGCAACACCACGGAGGAGGCCACACTACGGAGGTCGTCGGAGTTCATACGGAAATATCATACGGAAGTACAGTTTATTTCTCTTAGAATTGTAATTTGAACAAGCTCTTGATTGTTTGCGAAATATGATTCATTATGTCGGTATATTCTGTGTTTATTTTGCAGTAACACGTTTTAAAGCTGCTTAGCCTCACATTTAACCTCAATTCACTGCAATGTCATTTGTTTTTCGGAATCTTTGTTATTTCCTGAAAATAAGGTATAGTGCTAAATGGGCGATGCTTGCCTCATATGCCTTGGGGGCTGCACCATTGAATGTCTTCGAAACATGTGCAGTTTGGTTTTAGTCATCATCAGTGGCGGAATAGACTGTTCCAAATGAGTAGATAAATATCTACATATAGATACAAGGAATGACATAATAATATAATATTTAATAATATTTTTTATTTTTCTCTCAGCAAAAACATAGAAACTTAAGGTATAAAGTTACAGGGTTCACTTAAATCTAAATTGTGAGAGACAGGATCCTAAACTAGGGTACCCCCTGTGTCTTAGGTCTCCTGGCCTCCCCTCTTGAATGACATAGAGTAGTTAAGTGTCTATATAACCTCAAATGGCTTTGGTTGATTCAGCACAACAGTGAAAGCGATGAATCAATCACTTTAGAAAAAATATAGGTACACTGATTGCTATCCGGTGTGAAAACATGATTCCTACAAATTTTCACGATACAAGTAGACAAAAAAACACAAAATTTCCTCGAAATTTTACAAGAAAACCGCTGTATCAATAGGTACTTTACATATACCAATGATTTATTTTATATCGACTGAGCTACTTAAATAGAACACGTATAGTATTCGATATACATTTTTCAAATAGCTTTATTTCATTTATAAAAAATAAATTCTGAAATAAAGCCAGTGGTCCTCCCGCTCGAGGCAAGCAAAATGAACTGTATTAGTACGGCAAAAAAATTAATTCGATCGACTTTTAAAACCATCATTAATATGTGATATGATAACTTTTTCGAATTTCTGAAATAGCCTTACTGCATCCCAGGCTAAACCTACTCACCTAGGGAGCTAGTAGAGCAGTAGAGTTCGTTATGAAAGAGTACGTCTAGGGAAGTACTGCCACCTTACCTATTTCTGTCGCCAAGCCGTGATTTAAGCATTACTGCATTCCGGTTTGGAAGGGTAAGGGTGCTGGTGAAATTACAGGCACATGGGATTTGTTAACTTATGTCTCAGGGTGACGGCCGCAGTGGCAGTGCACTTAAAATATTTGCGATTTAAAACTCTGAGTGGCATTGCAACTGTTATGGATAGGCGTGTCGCTTACCACCAGGCGTACGACTTGTTCGTCCCGTCCCTGGTATTATATAAAAAAAATATATTAACATATAATTTACTAAATATTTCGTGGTTTTAACCACTCTATGACATTCCTTGTATCTACGTGTAGATATTTATCTACTCATTCGGAATATGCTGTTCCGACCATCATCAACATTGTGCGTTCTGTTGCAAGAGATCGAGTCTGTACTAAGGAGGGTTAGATAGCAATCCACTACGTTGGTTCAATACGAGCTGGAAACACGCGTCCTTTGTCAAAAACCACGTGATCTTGGCATGAGATTCCTATTTGATAGAAGAATGTAACAATGGTGGAGCTCAACTCAGAGTCAGATACTCGGCATGTTATTGGTACAGAACCTTCTACGCATGCGTTAAGATAAATCTCTCTTTGTTTACAATCGCGTCGGTGAAATAAGGTGGGATTGTAAAGATAATAGTGTTTGTTTGCGACACATCGCAATGGCGGATGTTTCTTTCTATTTCAGAACTTATCTTCGTCGACAGCGACATTTGATGGCTTTGTACATCCGCTGAAAACACACTTAGTGTTGCATAATAATAATAAATTGTTTTCGCTTATATCACCGCTTAACACCGGGTGAGACTGTTACTAAGCGTCGGACTAGATATTTACATAAAAAAAATGTTTCAGACGGCTGTTACTATGAAGCGTTTCTGATTCAATATCGACTTGATGTTCGCTGCTCAATGCCTCTAGCATGAGTTTACTGTAACAATTCTCGTTAGCGACAGCGTAAAATATTTGTCATCGAGTATATAACCAGAAATAGAGACGAAATGTCATTTAATTTGTTTGAAAACTATTCTGCCATGTCAATACTGTGACAATTGCGCTTCGATTGGCCTATGAAACTTAGACTATGGAAACTAAAGGACATGTTATGTTGACATATATAAATCAGACGTTATATGTATATGATGCATTTCGACATTGAAAACATAAACATGTTATTGTCTTGTTTAACTCTAGCGTGCCGTCTTAAGCCAAAAGAGATAGCATTACATTGGTCTGTGTCAAACACGGGAATCGAAAATATGTAACGTCATCTTAAATGCCAACCGTGTCCATTTCGCAGTACATGAGGTACATGATACGGTTGTTAAACGGAACTACATTAAATGTCAAAACAAATGTTTTTCCAAGTGTTTTATTGAATTATTCACATGTATTGTAATAAAATGGACAAAAATATTGACAGTGAGAACAATTAAGTATTAATAAAAATTCGTCGCTGCAGCATTACGGGATGTGGTATTTGAAAAGCGAAGATCGACCGAATGTAACATTGTACAGCCACGTGTTATTTTTCTATCTATAAATCT